CAATAGGTGGTGTTAATTAGCCAGGTATTTTATCCGGGCGTGACAATGATGTATGATTCACCTTCCCTCTTATTGTGCTTCAGGGCAACAATGGCACGGCTCGCATCTCTCACCTGTGAAAGGAAAGTGAGGGATCAAAACTGTGTGGTTTGGGTGAATATTTTATGTGTTTGTGTTTTGTGTTTGTGTAACCTTTTCTGTTGGTGCTTTTGTAGGTTATTGAGGGTGTGTAATTACCTAAGTGTAATTACCTAAGTGTAGTTACAGGATGAGAGCTACGCTCGTGGTGTCCCGTCTTCCCAGCACTCTTTGTCATATAACGCTTTGAAACTACTGACGGTCATGGCCTCCACCACCTTCTCACCTAACTTGTTCCAACCGTCTACCACTCTGTTTGCGAAAGTGAATTTTCTTATATTTCTTTTGTTATTTGTTTATTATTTCTCTTCTTATTTGTGTGCGTTTGTGCAGGTGTCCCTCGCATAGCTGCGTCTACAGTCAGCGAGATCTTCCTCTGGGGTTCCCGCCTCCCACCTGTTATTACTTGCTACTTTTACAGTTCCTGAAATTTGAATGATATACTTGGTTATGAAGTTATTATCTTTGGTAGCTTCAACGGCTTCTGGGTCAAGCTCCTAATTGCTTTCCTCCTGAGTCGTTGTTTGTAGTGTTCCCTTGTTCGGCTTCCTTCATGTAGAAAGGTCTAACTCTGTTACTTTATCTGCTCATATCAATATCTTTTACTCTGACCTTTCTTCTAGAGTGTTTAGGCTGAATTCTCTAACTATGGTCTCATAATGCAACTATCTTGTATGTGATATTAGACTGGTAGGAAATCTGTGGACCGTCGGTGTCTTCCACACTTGGCGCTGCACATTCTATGACCAGCGTCTTAATAATGTTCGGAATGATTCCATAGTTATGTATTTATGTGCTGTTCTTATATTTGCTTATTTTTCATGTGCTGCCAATGTGTGCTTATATGTACATATCTTTCAGGGGTTACCTCTAATCTTCTGTTATAACCCGTGTCAGGGATCTACTCTAGCTTGGTCTGAAGACGTCCTTGAAGCTTATATTTACCATTTTGCAGACTTTCTTATCGTTTTCTGTGAAGGCATCTCCTTAGCTTCTTAGCCTTTACCGTTGTCTTCTTGCTTGGGTAAATGGTAACCCTGGCTGGTCTTGAGTTAATATTTCTGTCATTATCAGACTGCCTCCGGAGCATCTCCTCAGCGTAGTGTACTCTTATCTTAGTTCTTATTAGTTCCTTTACGTTTTCCTCTGTACTCCGCTATGTGTGTGCTCTTTCCGTGTCTTTTGTATTTTGCCTCATTACATTGCCGAGTCATAGGTTAATATTGTTCTTCTCACTGCTACTCTCCAATATGCTAAGCATTTACCTGCAACCTAAGTGCATTTCCGGACTTTATACATGTCGTTAATTGTCTTCCTCTCAGGTCCATTCTCTCAATATATTGCCTGATTGAAGTCATTTGCGCTTCTGTAGTCTCCTCGCCTGGAGTTTCAATTCCTCCTGGACTCACTAGCCATGGTGTTCACACTCTTCTGTTCCACGTTGGGATCGAGTACTCCATCGCAGTGGTTGCTGGCCTCCAGTGCTACTTCATAACTCAACCTCCTGTCAGTAGTGGTAATGACGGCTTAGCTTTAAAGTTTTTGTTTTGGCAAAATTTAAAGCTGAGCCGTCATCGTTTATAGGGTGGTAGGTCAGACCTAAAAAAATTTAAGCTGCATCGTCACTGTTTTAAGGGTGGATTTTGACAGGGGTCCCAATTCGTCACTGCGGTCTTAAGGAATTATTATGGGGAAAATAATCACTGCAGTCTTAAGGAATTCTTATGTTAAAATGTTCCCGCTGCGGTCTTAAGGAATTCTAATGGAGAAAATAGGTGGTACCGTAGAGATGATATTTTCTCTATAACAATTCCTTAAGACCGCAGCGGGGAATTTTCTCCATAACAATTCCTTAAAACCATACTGACAAATTTTCTCCATTAGAATTCAATAACACTGCAGCTTAAACTTTTTCTTCAAAATAATTCCTTAACACAGCAGTGTGTGTATATGTTCTCCATAAGAATTTCTTAAGACTGCAGCGAGTATTTTTCCCCTAAAAGAATTCCTTAACACTGCAGTCGGAACATTTCAACATAGGAATTCATTAAGACCACAGCCAGTATTTTCCCTATAAGAATTCCTAAAGACCACAGCAATGAATTTTCTCCGTAACAATTCCTTAAGAACGCAGTGACGAATTGAGACTGTCAAAATCCACCCTTAAAAAGGTGATGGCACACCTTTAATTTTTTTAGGACTGACCCGCCACCCTAAAAACGATGACGGTGCAGCGTTAAATTTTGCCAAAACAAAAATTTAAAGTTAAGCCGTCATTAGCACTACTCTTATCATGTGCTTCGCTCTGAGTAAAGGCTACGTCTAGAATCCTGGTTCATACGCTTCACCCTTGTTGCTTGTGTTATGTGCTGTTTTAACAATTATATAACTGTAGTGTCTGCTAATTTCAGTTTTAATGTGTATTCCCCGTCATGGAAATATTTCGTTGTCTACCCGAAGTCGACAACGTCTAGGAGTTTTTCTCTTATGCTATTTGCTATTGTTTCTGCCTCTACTTGACCTTATATTATCAGCCTTTGATTATCATCGCTGCTAGCACTCGTGAGTTTGGTGACTCTGGAATCATTTAACTCTTCTAATTCCATGGTAATGGTATCTCACATTTGGTTGTTCCTCATATCTAACAGGAATTATAAATGAGAAATGTTTTTAGTCCGGTTTCGTATCGGCCATAAAGTGTTAACTCATGAGCACTTGGTAGACAGTACACCCGCTTAGAGTTATACATCTAACTGAATGTCCTGATTTTCTGTCCGTTGTGGCAACTTGAGAGGACCGGCTGCATTGAAAGAGACAAATATCATCTATGCTTTTACCTGCTCACTTGGGGTAACAGTTCCAGCAATCACAAGATATAGGCAAGACGACAGCATCTCTTTCAAGACGCCTGACAATGCACAGGCAACAAGGCTGTATCAAATTTCATATAATTTCTACACACGACTAGACCATCACTAGATATATTTTAACCATCAACACAGAAATAATATACATGCTGACACTAACAGACAGACATAGCCGAGGCACTAGATATCAAACACTCGTCTAACTATCAACAGGCAGCTCACACTTTGGTACATCCTACTATCTACAAGACAAACACAGAACTGCCAGCTCACACTACATCTATTGGCCTAGCCGACCAATGAGAATGCAGGGCGAAAAGGCACAGTCCTTTTAACTGGGTAACACCTTACCGCATCCTATATTGTATATGTACTGTCAGGACTCCTGGTTCAACCTTGAAGCCGAGCGGACGTCTGGACACCTCCGCCTGGGTGCCGCCTGATCACCTCTTGTTTTCGCGTTTTGGCTTTGCTACTGCCGTTTGGCATCCCTCTTCAACGGTCCGATTGTACGACGCCTGGCGCACATATCGCCTTGGGTCACGGGATTGTTGATATTTTTTTTTTTTTGGTGTGCTATGGCTGGTTCTTCCGGCGGTGTGACGGTGTTGGGGGCCGGCTTGGCCGAGAGGTGCCGGGGGTTGGTGGGTCTTGGTGGGCTCCTGGTGTGCCCTCAGTCGTGGTGGGCGGCGGCTTCTGCTCTGCTGGAGGACACTGGATGACTTTCGCGTTTTAGTTAGGGGCCGAGTTTTGGTTTTGTTACCTGGTGTTCTCTGTGTGGGGCGGGGCCGGTGCTTGTCACCCTGAGGGACTCCTGGGACTCCCCAATCATCTGCTCGTCTGTGCGTTTATTTGCTGTATGGCATCTTAGTTTCTAGTGATTGGCGTCACTCGTTTGGTGATTTGGCTTGGCGTTTCACCTTTCCTGGCTTCGCGATTCACCCTTAACGGGTACGCCGGGGCGCATCCGATCCCACGATCGTCGTCGCCCGTAAATCAACAACAACATATGTACTGTCAAACCCGCTAATTTGTACAGCTACAGCCCCGCTCCTGTGCCAGGTAAGTCCACTATGGACTCATCCTAGCCCGTGCTGCTTGCAACTTTTTGTTCACAGTAGCTGATTCTAAAACAACAACAACAACAGCTAATTTGTATTCGCTTTCCTTCTGCCTACGACAAAGAAGAGAGCCACAACGAAACGCGTCACACCAAAAAATATTGTGAAATGAACTTCGAATAGTTAATTTTTAAGTTTTCCTCTTAAGTGAACAGCATACGAAATATAAAAAAAGACTCGTGCCACAATCATTAGTATATATAATTTTGCCATTGCATTTTATTAACGAGTGTATGTGACCTAATTATTTAATTAGCATAAACACAAAATAAACATATAAACACACATAACTCTAGCGAGTTATACGCCGTATAGTTGGTGCAATCAGCTGATTTTGTTTACATTCCTAGCACATGAATGGAGTCACGATCTCACTCATCTGGACAAATGTTTTCCAGCTGACGAATGACGTCACTACTCCGGCCAGACTGACATACTGTTAACAACAGCTGATGAATTACGTCATCATGCCAGTAAACTATTTACCTCCACAGGTGATGAATGACGTCATTTTATCAGCCAAACTGATCTATTATCTACCATGATGTCACTACGTCAGCCAAACTGATTCATTGTTCACCTCTACAGCTGATGTCACCACGTCAGCCAAACTGATACACTGTTTACCTCCACAGCTGATGTCACCACGTCAGCCAAACTGATTCACTGTTTACCTCCACAGCTGATGTCACCACGTCAGCCAAACTGATTCACTGTTTACCTCCACAGCTGATGTCACCACGTCAGCCAAACTGATTCACTGTTTACCTCCACAGCTGATGTCACCACGTCAGCCAAACTGATTCACTGTTTACCTCCACAGCTGATGAGTGACGTCACTCTCAATAAGCTGATCTAATGTTTACTTCCTCAGCGAGTTCCAGCAAGTACCCGCACTACGTCTTCAACAACCTCGATAAGGAGAACACCGGGGTCATCAGCTTCGAGGTAAGCTGTTTTGAATTGTGGTGATCAAAAGTTGCTGTGATTATAGGCGTAGCGTGCGTAAAATTATTGTGATTGTAGGAATGTAAGTGCTACAGTGTTATTATGATTGTAGGTATATTTGAGATATTGAGTTGTAATTACAGGTATCTATGTGTAGTAGTGTTGTAACTGTATAATTCTGACATAAGGATGTGATTGTAGGTGTAATTAGACGACATTGTTGTCATTGTATGGATAATTGGGCTAAAATGTTGCGATTGTCAGTATAGATGGACTAGTGCTATGACTGTAGGCATTGTTGCGCTATAATGTTTGTGATTGTTGGTATAGTTGGGCTCTATTGCTGTGATTGTTGATATATTTTTTGGTGTGGCTTCAAGATAGTCCAAGAAGACTTCCCCTTCAATTGACGGTCAATAACGACCCCCGAGCAACGGGTGTGAAGAGATCCCCCTCGTTAACGACTCCTTCACTCTTGTTAACCTGCACACCCAGCAAATTACCCCCCCCCCCTCCCATCTAATCCACAACAAATCTAGCTAATATTAAGGGAAAGTGTGTCTCTGTCAGACTATGGCGTTGTGTCTGGAGGTGTTGTGGAGCCATAGTGTTGTGGGGGTTATTAATTGAAAGTTAATATACGAGTTATGAATGTGTGTGTGTGGAGAGAGCAGGTTATGGTTAGTTATGTATGTAATGTCTGGTTATTTCTGTGGTTAGAATGTTCTCTTGCTTTTCTCCTTCTGTCTGTCTGCCTGCCTGCCTGCCTGTCTGTCTGCCTGCCTGTCTCTCTCTCTCTCTCTCTCTCTCTCTCTCTCTCTCTCTCTCTCTCTCTCTCTCTCTCTCTCTCTCTCTCTCTCTCTCTCTCTCTCTCTCTCTCTCTGCCCAACCACTTGGGGGATGGACGGTAGAGCGACGGTCTCGCTTCCTGCAGGTCAGCGTTCAATCCCCGACCGTCCAAGTGGTTGGGCGCCATTCCTTCCCCCCTGTCCCATCCCAAATCCTTATCCTGATTGATTGATTGATTGACTGAGGAACATTAAGCCACCACAAGAGGTGGCACGGGCGTGAGTAGCCCGGAAGTGGTAGATGTTTGGAGTGAATGTTGTCTCTGGTGGTGTAAACTTTTGAAGTGTCTCTGGGGGTGCAGTGGATCCTGACCCCTTCCCTGTGCTGTATAGGCCTAATGGCTTGGTGCTTTCCCCTGAAAGACCCCTTCCCTTCTCGACCGGCACTCACCCACAGTAATCTCTCTCCTCCCCGTACAGGATCCTCGCCCACAGTAATCTCCCTCCTCCTCCCCGTACAGGATCCTCGCCCACAGTAATCTCCCTCCTCCTCCCCGTACAGGATCCTCGCCCACAGTAATCTCCCTCCTCCTCCCCGTACAGGATCCTCCCCCACAGTAATCTCCCTCCTCCTCCCCATACAGGATCCTCGCCCACAGTAATCTCCCTCCTCCTCCCCGTACAGGATCTGATCACTCTACTCTCGCGTCTCTCAAGAGGATCCCTAAACGACAGACTTAAGTGGATCTTCTCCCTCTACGACCTGAACGGCGACGGGTGCATCACGCGACAGGAGATGACAGACGTGGTGCAGGCCGTCTACGACCTGATGGGCAAGCACACGGACACGCCCGTCGACGAGCAGACAGTGGGGCTCAAGGTGGAGTCTCTCTTCACGGTGGGTCTCCTGTCTCCTGCCAGGCACTCCTCGTGTTACGGGTCTGGGGGCAGGTTAACTTCTCTTTTGGTCCCTCCTGCTGGCTTGATTGGCGGGAGTGTAGGCCTACTGGGAATGGGGGTAGTGTAGGCCTACTGTGACTGGGGGTAGTGTAGGCCTACTGTGACTGGGGGTAGTGTAGGCCTACTGTGACTGGGGGTAGTGTAGGTCTACTGTGACTGGGGGTAGTGTAGGCCTACTGTGAATGGGGGTAGTGTAGGCCTACTGTGACTGGGGGTAGTGTAGGCCTACTGTGAATGGGGCGCGGTAGTGTAGGTCTACTGTGTCTGTTGCCTGCGTTGTTTGGTGATCTTTTCCCCTTTGTGAAATACGAAAGATAACAAATATATCTAGATGATAGCCAGGGAGGATGACAGGATTGGACAAGCTGTAGTTGCAGATGTCTCTGGTCAGGTGTTGCAGATGTTTCTGGTCAGGTGTTGCAGATGTTTCTGGTCAGGTGTTGCAGATGTCTCTGGTCAGGTGTTGCAGATGTTTCTGGTCAGGTGTTGCAGATGTTTCTGGTCAGGTGTTGCAGATGTTTCTGGTCAGGTGTTGCAGATGTCTCTGGTCAGGTGTTGCAGATGTCTCTGGTCAGGTGTTGCAGATGTTTCTGGTCAGGTGTTGCAGATGTTTCTGGTCAGGTGTTGCAGATGTCTCTGGTCAGGTGTTGCAGATGTTTCTGGTCAGGTGTTGTAGATGTCTCTGGTCAGGTGTTGCAGATGTTTCTGGTCAGGTGTTGCAGATGTTTCTGGTCAGGTGTTGCAGATGTCTCTGGTCAGGTGTTGCAGATGTTTCTGGTCAGGTGTTGCAGCATTAATGTGTGGGGGAGAAAACAAAAACATTTTACGGACTAATCTTTATACTTAGAGAATGTTTAGTCACTATATTTATAAAGTGTAAGATGAAAGAAACAAGTGCTTGTACACCACTCACCACGTGGTGGTGGAGCGGCCCGCCACGTGGTGGTGGAGCGGCCCGCCACGTGGTGGTGGAGCGGTCCGCCACGTGGTGGTGGAGCAGCCCACCACGTGGTGGTGGAGCGGTCCACCACGTGGTGGTGGAGCGGTCCGCCACGTGGTGGTGGAGCGGTCCGCTACGTGGTGGTGGAACGGCCCGCTACGTGGTCTTGGTCCTGGGGGCTTCTGGCCTTGGTCCTGGGGTCTTCTGGCCTCCCAGGTGAGTGGTCCGAACGTGAAGCTGTGTATGATGCCACTGGACGGCTCCTGAGAGTTGAGTGTGCCCGGAAGACGCAGCATCCGGCGGGTGGGCATCACTCTCCTTGGCGAGATGAGAGGTCCTCCATGTCTTGGCTGCATCACCTGATGAGTCCAGGTTCGAATCCTCCTCGTGGCTCCTACAGATTTTCTCCTTGATTCATCAAGTAACGGCTAGGGAATTTCTGTAGTAACCTTCTATGTTATTTTCGTTACTCCTATTTCTCTCTCTCTCTCTCTCTCTCTCTCTCTCTCTCTCTCTCTCTCTCTCTCTCTCTCTCTCTCTCTCTCTCTCTCTCTCTCTCTCTCTCTCTCTCTCTCTCTCTCTCTCTCTCTCTCTCTCTCTCTCTCTCCCTCCCTTCCTTTCTCCCTCCTCTCTCTCTCTCTCCCTTCCTTTCTCCCTCCTCTCTCTCTCTCTCTCTCTCCTTCTCCATCTCTCTACTCATTCTCCCCGAGCCGTTCATCAGCTTTCCCAGATGTCTTAGTTTACTCAGGGTGAAGGTTGTAAACTAGGGCTTGACCGCGTCTCGGAAGGATAGGCCTACTTCGGTTGATTGGCTCTTGGAGTGGCCCGGGGGGGGGGGGGGGGGCGGTGCCCGGGGCACTCTAGGTAGAGTCTCACAGCAGGATTGGAATAATCTTAAGCTAATATCTTCAGTGTGAGATTGGATCTTGTGCTGGAAAAGGGCATCTAATCACCCTGAAGGGGGGGGGGGAGCGATAATAGTCGTATTGGCAATAGATTAAGTTGCAGATTAAAGGTTCTATTGTTGAGTTTTGTCATAGCTGGTGATTCCACTACTTGCCTTTATGATAGAATCTTTTTAGAATATGATTTAATTTTTCTTAACTGTTTTTACTTAACTTAAACTGTTTTTAATGGAATTTTGTATTTGGGCTAATTTTTCCCTTTTCATTAATTCATTGAGTATAACATCTTGAGCTGGTTTGTGGGGGAGATTTTAAGTGATTTTTTTAAGTGACTGAAGATACATTCAGTAATTATCAGACGGATTAATAATTTAAAACTCATAACTAATTAAAATAATTATCATCTGGGAAAAACGGTAGACGGCTCGGAGAGAATGAGGGAAGAGAGAGACGGGAGGGAGAAAGAGGGAAGAAAGGAGGTAAGAAAGAGAATTAAAAATCATAGAAGCTTAGTACAGAAATTACCTAGCCGTTACAATCACGTTAATTTGATTACCTTGTTCGCTTGAAGAGAAGCGGTGGAGGCCGAGCTGCTGTACCACAGCCAGAGTGCACGCGAGCAGGGAGTGGAACCCCTGACTTGGCTTCAGTGGAAGCCTCAGGACCCCTCGAGGATTCAACTGAATCCCAGGTTGCATTACTGTAGAGCATATCAGCCTACAGGTTTACGGCTTGTGTTTGAGAATTTCCAATGTGCAGGTTCGAATCCTCCTCTCGGCTCCTACTGATTTTCTCACTGAAAAATCACTTTAGTGTGATTTCCTCGTACATGACTGGACTAAGACCAAGTAAGCATTGAAAGAGTCGGCGGTGCCTTGAGACTCCTCGGTAATGATCTCCAAGGAGCTCATGCTCTGGCCTACTCTGTGAGGCTTTGCGTACCTCTTATCTTTTGATGTATTCATGTCTCTCCTCCTTCACCGTGGCGCGGTGGGCGACCAGGGGCCCGTGGAGCTGTCCTTTCTGGCGTCTAGAAGATGCACTCCTCCTCCTTCCCTGCACTAGTAGGGACTCGCTGGGAGTTCAAGGGCTGCTGACCCGGTGAACCCTCACCCCTACTCCGGCTTCCAGACTTCTATGGATGCTCTTGTATCAGCCGCTGACTCCATACTTCTTGGTATTGATTCTGCGTCCCCCACTCACCACCCTGTCACGCCCACCACCTCCTTCATGACGGTGACTTCCCGTGTCTCACCTACTGTGACGGTCACTGCCACGACTACCCCCTCACGCACCGTAACGACCACTACCCTCTCACGCACCGTAACGACCACAACCCTCTACTCTCGCACAATTAAATCCCATGAAGGGCAGTGGGAGTGTGGTGGGAGGTCGTGAGAGAAGCGAGGGTCCCTCACCAGTGTTCACCTTCATCACTGGTTGTCGTCGTGTTGCTCCCAGTAAGACGCGCCGTCGTCCTCGTCCTCCCCTGCAGCAGGTTACGTCGGGACGAGGAACTTGTCGTAGTGTTGTTAGATGACCGGGATGAGGGTGGTGCTGTTGAAGACCTGACCCAGCGTACCGGCCTGCTCACTGAGGCGTCCCGTCACCACCGTGGCTCCCGCCTTATCACAGTCCAGTCTCAAGGACAGGTCGACTGACTCTTCCCGCTGGTCCAGTGTACACGAGTCGATTGTTGTATCTAAAAAAATAATATACAACCTGATGTAAATTGTCTTAGTTTTATACGACCCGCCATTCGGGGGGTACAACCAGGTCCTTAATTACTTCAGGGCCCAGTCAATCTTCTCCGGATTAACGCTGAGTGCGCGCTCGCTCGTGTGTGTGTGTAATTACCTACGTGTAATTACCTAAGTGTAGTTACAGGACGAGAGCTACGCTCGTGGTGTCCCGTCTTCCCAGCACTCTTTGTCATATAACGCTTTGAAACTACTGACGGTCATGGCCTCCACCACCTTCTCACTTAACTTGTTCCAACCGTCTACCACTCTATTTGCGAAGGTGAATTTTCTTATATTTCTTCGGCATCTGTGTTTAGCTAGTTTAAATCTATGACCTCTTGTTCTTGAAGTGCCAGGTCTCAGGAAATCTTCCCTGTCGATTTTATCAATTCCTGTTACTATTTTGTATGTAGTGATCATATCACCTCTTTTTCTTCTGTCTTCTAGTTTTGGCATGTTTAATGCTTCCAACCTCTCCTCGTAGCTCTTGCCCTTCAGTTCTGGGAGCCACTTCGTAGCATGTCTTTGCACCTTTTCCAGTTTGTTGATGTGCTTCTTAAGATATGGGCACCACACAACAACTGCATATTCTAGCTTTGGCCTAACAAAAGTCGTGAACAATTTCTTTAGTATATCGCCATCCATGTATTTAAATGCAATTCTGAAGTTAGAAAGCATCGCATAGGCTCCTTGCACAATATTCTTTATGTGGTCCTCAGGTGATAGTTTTCTATCTAGAACCACCCCTAGATCTCTTTCTTTATCAGAATTCTTTAAAGATTTCTCACATAATATATAGGTTGTATGGGGTCTATGTTCTCCTGTTCCACATTCCATCACATGACATTTATTAACATTAAATTCCATTTGCCAGGTGGTGCTCCATATACTTATTTTGTCCAGGTCTTCTTGAAGGGCATGACAATCATCTAAATTTCTTATCCTTCCTATTATCTTAGCATCATCAGCAAACATGTTCATATAATTCTGTATACCAACTGGTAGATCATTTATGTACACAATAAACATCACTGGTGCAAGAACTGAACCCTGTGGTACTCCACTTGTGACATTTCTCCATTCCGATACATTGCCTCTGATTACTGCCCTCATTTTTCTATCAGTCTGTGTGTGTGTGTGTGTGTGTGTGTGTGTGTGTGTGTGTGTGTGTGTGTGTGTGTGTGTGTGTGTGTGTGTGTGTGTGTGTGTGTGTACTCACTTAGTTGTGCTTGCGAGGGTTGAACTCTGGCTCTTTGGTCCCGCCTCTCAACTGTCAATCAACTCGTGTACAGATTCCTGAGCCTACTGGGCTCTATCATATCTACATCTGAAGCTGTGTATGGAGTCAGCCTCCACCACATCACTGCCTAATGCATTCCACCTGTTAACTACTCTGACACTGATAAAATTCTTTCTAACCTCCCTTTTTGGGTACTCAGTTTCCTCCTGTGTCCCTTTGTTCATATTCCACACATGCTAAATAGTTTGCCTTTGTCCACACTGTCAATTCCTTTGAGAATCTTTAGGTGGTTATCATGTCTCCCCTTATTTTGTTTGTTGCCGCCGAAGGCGGCTAGTTTATTGTGCACCCCATACTCATCCTGTGAGCGGTAGCGCAAAAGCATTACAGAGGGCACAAAAGGTCTTTATCAGACCTCATCTTAGATTATTACATAAACAATTTCTTCAATCCTTCACACCTTATAGACACAATGTCAGCTAGTTACAGAGAAAGTGCTATTACAAGAGCTACATATTTACAGTAAGTCATCATACATTAATGGTAGGTCTTGTCGTTAATACATAATAGTTTGGCCAATGGGGATAACAGTCTTCTGTCTTCCGGGGACGTGAGGTTTAGCTCCCCTAGCCTTTCCTCGTAGCTCATACCTCTCAGTTTTGGGACTAGTCTGCTAGCATACTTCTGAACCTTCTCTAACTTTGCCTTGTGTTTAACAAGGTATTGACTCCAGGTTGGAGCTGCATACTCTAGGATTGGTCTGACATAAGTGGTATACAAGGTTCTGAATTATTCCTTACACAACTTTCTAACTGCAGTTCTTATGTTGGTGAATCTAGCATATGCTGCTGATGATGTCCTCTCGATGTGGGCCTCTGGGTACAGGTTCGGTGTGATATCAACACCAAGATCTTTCTCTCTATTTGACCCTTACAGGATTTCACCTTCCAGATGGTACCTTATACAACTAGGTGTGTACACTGTACACACCTAGTTGTACTCATCTATTTGTGTTTGCGGGGGGTTGAACTCTGGCTCTTTGGTCCCGCTTCTCAACTGTCAATCAACTGGTGTACAGATTACTGAGCCTATTGGGTTCTATCATATCTACATCTGAAGCTGTGTATGGAGTCAGCCTCCACCACAACACTACTTAATGCATTCCATTTGTTAACTACCCTGACACTGAAAAAATTCTTTCTAACGTCTCTGTGACTCATCTGGGCACTAAGTTTCCACCTGTGTCCCCTTGTTCGTGTTCCACCGGTGCTGAAGAGTTTGTCTTTGTCCACCCTTTGTGTGTGTCTGAGTGTGTCTCTGTATGTGTGTGTTTCGTCGTCAGAGTTTGTCTTACAAAATCAGTGATTATTTCAGAACATTAAGGTTTGTGTTGGAGCTACTCTTGATAGTTCTATAATGTACTACATCTTGAGACAGTACTGGGAAAGGTGAAAAGAACTTACTCAAAGGTTGATTCCTGCGATGGAGTTTATAAACGATGTAGTTCATACGAAATATATTTCTGTCTCTTTCTCCCTTTTTATGTTTCCCTAATCCCTCCCTCCCTCCCTCACTGTCTCCCTCACTCCCTCTCTGTCTCCCTCACCACTAACGACTCTTCTCTCCCGCAGACTCTGGACTTGAACAAGGACGGTGTGATCACTCTGGACGAGTTCACTGAAGCTTGCAGCCAGGATAGCACCATTGCCTACAACATTGACGCCATGTTGCAGTGTGACGTCACGGTTCTCAACCCTTCTGACATCACTTCCTCTGACGCCATCACGCCTGACCACCCACCATCCAGGAACCTTAGGAGGTGACGTCATCCTGACCAATCGTCAAGCGAGAAGGATTCACATGAAGTGACATCATTGGCATCCTCCAATGCCAACTGAAGTATCGTCGAAACAAGCGGTTTACTGCAAAATACATTTCTCGTCATAATACAAAATGAACTGAGATGAACTTCAAGTCGAACGTTGCCAAACATGTCGCTAGGATGTTGTTAGGGTTTGAGATGTAAATACACCAGAGAACCAATGTTTATGTTGTTGTGTTTGTTGATGGCGGGCGGCGACGGGGAGTCTTCATGGTGACTGGTTCGCGCCTCGGGTGTCTGGGTAGTGCTTTTGTGTCAGTCACGAGCTTCAAGCCGTGGGGAGGGAGGGAGGGAGGGACGGATGGGGGAGAGTGGGCCGTTTTATCAGGCACTAAGACCATTGAAAGCTTTCTGTCTTTTCCCCTTTAAGATTTGTGGAAACATTGAAGACATTTTGTACAGCTTCTGTGTCTTTATTGTGGGTGTTGAAAGGTGTTTTGTGCCAGTACGCCACAAACACACACACATATACACCCAGCTTGTATAGACACACTGACCAGAGTGTGGGCCTGCTGCTCCCCCTCCTGCTCCTAACAGCTGCTCAATCGACCCGTCTCCCACATTAACAAGCCACTAACTACACCAGGTCAACCACAAGAAACAAGGTCAATTATTTTTTTAAGGTTCACCATGAAGTGTGTCAAGTGTCAGTTGCTGCGGCTTTGTACATAGTTCAGATATCTTTATATTCTCTACATGCTTTGTGGCACAGTTATTTAATCTAATTATATACATTTATGTGTGAGAATCAACTTCAGGATGTCGGGACGTCGCGCAAGTCCATAGTCATTTTCTGCCGTGACGTCACATTCTTGTCTATTGGTGTTTGTTGATGTTGTGCTCTCCATCTACTCCCACACCTGTTGACTACCTGTTGAGGGTTTCCAACGTCCTCGGAGCCCAGTCTCTGACCTCCACACATATTCTATTCGACATTGACTCTACAGTCAAAGGTATTTTTTCAATTTGGTATCATTTATATGACGAGAGGTTGTCAGCCCTGGGGGACGATCAGTCACTGGAAATTTGCATAATGACATATCGAATTATGTTGTCCATTTATGGTGTTAACTTAAATCCATTTGTTATTATGGATACTTCTAATTTAATCTAAATTTTCCTTTAAATATGACCAAACATTGAGACCCATTTTCTGTATAATACTCTGTATGCTGATTCCCATTTTCAATGGGGAAAATATATAACTTTAACGGTTTTTAAATATCACTAAGTTTTCCGAAACGGTTTTGTGCGATGAAGACAGCAAAATTAAAATAATGAAATACACAGCCTTATTTTGTATATTATAAAAAATTAATGGAAAAGTAATGTATTTAAAGGAAATTCACCATTTTCTATCAAAGAGGATACAGAAGCAAAGCTTTTAAATTTACATGTTGTTGTCGTTAAAGATTCGCTACCTGGAACAAGAAGTTCTAAGTAGCACGGGCTACGGCGAGCCCGTCTTAAAATTTACAGGCGGCAGTCAGTCCCAAAGCAATTTAATGTTAGAGTTCGATGCATTATATTTTCTACGATCCTTGATTTTCCAATCTGTACTCTGAATACTGATTCGATTCTTACATTCAGAAATGTGGCAATTCTTTACAAATTCAGAAAGCATCTTGATTCCAGGATATAAAACTATTTTGATTCTTAGATATAGTTTAAAATCCAATCATTCCTACTTTACTTTTAATTCCTTGGCCGAAACACTTTAATTCATAAAAAGTTTTACCACTCTAATTAAAAGAATTTTTTTCAGGTAGTTTGATGTTTTTGTTTTTAAATGTACCTCAAATTCTATAAATTTACTGGTAGAAATAGTCCTTTTTAAAATATCTTGATTCTTAATTTCATATGCCTTCAGGTACAGGAAAATCTAGAATGTCATAACTCCTACAAAACTTGGATTATTCTAATAGAATCTATATGCCTAGAATCCCTGTCTAGTCTGGACGGCCGTTATTCACTAAGAGCTTAAAATATCTTGACTGAGAAGGAGTTCTAAATATTCCCAGACATCCAAATATGGCTTGATTTCCAGCTAATCTCTAGTTCCATTGAAATTCTGTTGTTTCTGAGACCATATATGCCTTGACAACTTAAGAATTGTAGGGTAGATCAAATTTTCAGCATATCTTTGTAAAACTACTTTTTTTATCTAGTGTTTAACATGTTGAATCAAAATTAATAGTGTTAGATTTGTATCAAAAGATATATAAAGGGGATTTTTATACAGCACAAAGCTATCATTCATCGAACCTGCAGGGAGATAGCGTAATAATTAGAGATAATTCTAATCATTCCTTCATAACCATATCTGAGAAGTTGTGTGTAATCCATGGCATGTTGTTGCTGTTCTAATTATTATTATCATTATTATAATTCTAATTATTATTTTGTTAATAAATCATTCCATACAATTACTGTATTGCTAAGATAAGGACAAATTAATTAATAATGTAGCTTGTTGGAGTGTTTTGGGCACTGTTATTTAATTTTTATAATTAATTGATCCTATTTCTTACACAGTTAATTTAAAAACAATAGAATTCACACTGTTAATAATAGTAATAGTAGAATTAGCATTAGAAATAGCAGAATTAGTACTGGTAATTGAATTAGCACTATTAACAGTACCAATAGTACAATATTTTGTAAAAATAGTAAATTAGTTGCATTAGTAATAGTAATGATAGTTGACTTTACAGTCAACATAGTAGTAATAGTAGAATTTCCATTAGTAATAGAATTTCCATTAGTAATAGTAGAATTTCCATTAGTAATAGTAGAATTTCCATTAGTAATAGTAGAATTTCCATTAGTAATAGTAGAATTTGCACAAAGTATTAGCATGAAGTAGCATGCTAATACTTTGCACTAGCAATAGTTGAATTTGCCCCAAGTAAAAGCAGAATTAACACTAGTAATGGTAGAATTTGCCTTAGTAATAGAAAAATTAACATTAGTAATAGAAGAATTTTCCCTAGTAATTAAAGAATTAACAGTAGTTTTAACAGTAATTTGTTAGTAATAATTGTTGTAGTGCCTCTGATTGTGACAATAGCCTCAGGGGTATTGGTAGTACCAGCCGCAGTGATAGTGGTAGTGGTAGTGGTAGTGGTAGTAGTAGTAGTAGTAGTAGTAGTAGTAGTAGTAGTAGTAGTAGTAGTAGTAATGGCCAAAATAATATCGAGCATTGTATTATTAATTTGCCTGTCATTCTTGTTGTTTGCATAATATAATATTTCCTTTTCTCCCAAGCATGGATATATATATATATATATATATATATATATATATATATATATATATATATATATATGTCGTACCTAGTAGCCAGAACTCACTTCTCAGCCTACTATTCAAGGCCCGATTTGCCTAATAAGCCAAGTTTTCCTGAATTAATATATTTACTATAATTTTTTTCTTATGAAATGATAAAGCAACCCTTTTCTCTATGTATGAGGTCAATTTTTTTTTATTGGAGTTAAAATTAACGTAGATATATGACCGAACCTAACCAACCCTACCTAACCTAACCTAACCTATATTTATAGGTAAGGTTAGGTTAGGTAGCCAAAAAAAGCTAGGTTAGGTTAGGTTAGGTAGGTTAGGTAGACGAAAAAACATTAATTCATGAAAACTTGGCTTATTAGGCAAATCGGGCCTTGAATAGTAGGCTGAGAAGTGCGTTCTGGCTATTAGGTACGACATATATATATATATATATATATATATATATATATATATATATATATATATATATATATATAATTGTTCATGCTTGGATAGAAATATATACATACTGTACATTCAAAGATATATACATATGTTTTTCATGCATCTGTACATCACACAAATGTACATCATGCAAATGTGCATAATACATACATAGGCCATGGGCCTACGTGCCTAATATAAAAATGCAAATTATCCAAACATGCAATTCCAGATGAGCAGGACCAATCAAAACTCAAAAGTGGCGCCAAATCTGCATCAGTGTTCAATTAGAAATATTGTATTAACTTTTCTATAAAACGTTGGCGAGACGTTGATCAACAAAACGTTCCTACATTTTGTAATGTTTTTTATTTTTTTATTAGAACAATATATATATATATATATATATATATATATATATATATATATATATATATATATATATATATATATATATCTGCAACTGAAAACTGGGGTGTGGAGTTTTCAGTGGCATATATGCTTGGGGACCATTCAAGCTTGTTCGCATTTGTGTTGCTCACGTGGCCCCCACAAAAATGAGGTGATTTGATGAAATCAAATAGCTATGCCCAAGATTACCATCAAAGTGCCGTTGGGGCGGTGGGTCAAATAGCCTCGGCTAACACCGCCTTTTGTACGGTCTCTGATGGTCAAGTGGTTTAGGGCACCGTGTACACCAGTTGCAATGTGCTCCTGGCAGTCCGGGTTCGTGTCACTTCTGGGGTGTGGAGTTATCACTTGCATATATGCTTGGGGACCATTCAAGCTTGTTTGCATGTATATATATATATATATATATATATATATATATATATATATATATATATATATATATATATATATATATATATATATATATATATATATATATATACATTCAACATATACTCATATACTCGAACCCATACTTCCAGGAGCAACACAACTGGTAACTACAGGACGCCTTAATCCGCTTGACCATCACGACCGGACATAAGGAAGTGATAGCCGAAGCTATTTGAACCACTTTCCCGCCGGCACTCGGGGAAGTGTTCCTCACGTGTGCCCCAAAGAATGTGGTGATTTGATGCCCAAGATTACCATCCAAGTGCCGGCGGGGAAGTGGTTCAAATAGCTTCGGCTATCACTTCCTTATGTCCAGTCGTGATGGTCAAGCGGATTAAGGCGTCCTGTAGTTACCAGTTGTGTTGCTCCTGGGAGTATGGGTTCGAGGCACTTCTGGGGTGTGAGTTTTCATATATATATATATATATATATATATATATATATATATATATATATATAATATATGATCTCTTTTGGGAAAGTGAGCCTTGATTATTATCATTATTAATATTCCATGTGTAATTTTTTCCTTTGAATGTCCATATATAAACAGAATTGTTGTGCAAATTAAAAGTAAATAATTGTCTGAATGCTTTGTCACTACAAGTTTACTCTTTTAATGATAATTATTGTATTTAGACGTCTCCAACTGAGGCACGTGTGGAGGCGCTGTTTTTAACGTGTGGAGGTGTTGAGGACTTGTCTGTTACACAGGAGCATCACTGACATAAATGAGCAGTTTTTAATTTTTAAAAGTTGGATTTTTTGAATGGCTTTGTTTCTTGTGCATCCCCCACCCCACAGGCCCTCTGCTTCACTCTTCCCTAATACAAGTGGGTGTATTTTGGTTACTGAGATGTATTGAATTCCAAAACGTTATTGAATAATGGTAATGGGCAATTTTAATGATGAAAAATCATTCATCCTTCAAATGATGTGATGGGTAGCAATAGTATCCCAGGAAGGGGTGTGTATTACTATGAACGTTAGTGTAAACACAGGTATGAGTTACTATTTCATATTTGAAGCACCGGACACATGTAAGAATACACGGGGTAGGGGGAGGGATGACAAGGAAGATTCCAACTTACTATAACACTTGTAGGATTTTTATTAACATGTTTGTGATACAAAAGATGTGAAACAATGAACAAATCCACAAGAGCCGTGACGAGGATTCGAACTTATAACCCTGTCGTAGCTCAGTCGATTAAGGCAGTGTCTAGGATGGTCCCGGACGCAGGTTCGAATCCTCGTCACGGCCTTTGTGGATTTGTTCATTTGATGCATCACGTTAGTGTGATCTCTGTGTGTAATGTGAGACACATATACAGAGGGTTGTCTGGCTTCATGATACTGTTTTATGTGATGACACTCAAACTTTGAATGGTAATAAGTAGTAATATGGACGATTGTGCTTCACAAAGGTCCAAGAAAAGTAATTCAGAAAAGTGACTCGGGGAAAATTTTAATGTAAATGATAAACCCGAACATTGGGGAATGTAAACTGGTGAAGGAGAGAGCAGAATTTGAGCAGGTGAAGATATTGTCTGATGGAGGAAGTTAGTGGTTGTGAGAGTTAGTTTTTTTTTTAGTTTAGTTCATTTATTATGCACCCCATACCCATCTTGTGGGCGGTAGTGGAAAGGGTTACAGAGGCACATAATGGGCTCAGGGACTGAACCCCACAATTCGTTTAGCTAAGCAAGTTACCATCTTGATGAGCTAGTTACAAAATTCAATATTGTGAGAGAAGTCTAGTAGATAATAGCAGTACCAAATGTGAGATGTTACAGGCAGTGAAGTAGGTGTGAAGAACGTGTCAGCAGCCAGGGACACTGTTGAGGTGTCTTGACTCACATGATCGACAAAGAGCAGTGAATAGGTACGTCCACTCCTGAGGATAATTCGTTAGTGTGATGCTACCGGTTCTTTGTGAGGCTTGGCGAGTGTTTAATATATGATGAATGGACTGATGTCATCTTTTAATATTTTAATTTTTCCTCCTTTACTGTGCAACTCATCTTTTCCGGACTGATGCCTTCCCCTCCTCGCGAACATGTGAAACAGCAAAGATGAATAAGCCAGGTACAATTCTATTACATGGGGGCATTGATTGCATAAATTATCATTTTTTAGTTTTCAACTTCAGTATTTGGCCACCAGCTGCAATGTTGATGACGGGACCACCAACATCCCCCCACTCCTCATCCCTCTCTTTCCCCAGAATATTACAGATCTACTCAATATAACTTAGTCACTCACATCACTTGGTAAAGGAAGTTCACAAGGCCTGCTGCTGGGTCTGGTCAGTAGCTGGATGAGTGACCATACCCAGCCTCGCCCTGGGAGAGCCTGCAAGTACGGTGGGCGGTCAAGTACATACATTTGGTGCTCACTAGATGCGCAGCAATATTCTGAATTATGTTTAACAACTTAAAACAGTAATCCCAAGTTAGTAGTGAGTACTGAATTAGAGGTCTACTTTGGGAGAGGTAGACTACTGCACACTAGTTAGCATCTGGGTGATGCGCTTCCCTCCGTAAACCAGACAGTTTCCTCCTACCACATTTCGCCGTAACAGTTTTCAAATGTCTTATAAAAGACATATTTTCATCAATTTCCACTCCTAATATGGTAATTGATGTGTTGTATATTAGTGTTGTCTTCTCTAGTCTTATGACAGGTCGACATATTTGGTGACTCTGTGAGGTAACCGTTTTATTTGTGGCGTTGTTTCTGTGGCGACAACTTCCTGACATTATCGTCACAAAGATTAAATAGTTCTAATGTTTCATTGATGTGATATACATCTCCACTCTTGTCTCCTGAAAAAGTCTGTATTCAGCCATCTTCATGGACTCTGATAATAGCTTCAGGATTTATTAGAAATAGATTTTCCACAGGTGTGGTCTGACCATATTACTCTGGGGGTACTGGTCCACAGGGGTGTTCAGGTCACACTACTACCATGAGAGTGAACTCACTAGTATGGTATGGTCCACAGGGGTGGTCAGGTCACACTACTACCATGAGGGTGGTGCCCTAAGTCTCTGAAGGTACACAGACCAGTTCTCTGCGTCATACTATCAAATACTTCAGCAGTGTCCCCAAGCTGTGACCCGCATCTCTGCCACAGTCCAGACTCTTATTTCATTCTGCGGTCAACTGAAGCAGTAGATCTGGTCTGTTTCTTTTGTCTCTTTCAAACATAATTGGTTGTTACTAACAAGCACTTGTGTTATTAGTTTTTTTAATCAAGTAAAGTAGTTATTTTATTAGGGTACTTTTCTAGATAGTTTCAAGGACTTTTTTCCAATCGTTCCATCGACTGAGAACAAGGATATGGCTCATAAATTTTTACTGATGTCTATTAATAATAATAATAATAATAATAATAATAATATTATTAATATTATTATTATTATTATTATTATTATTATTATTATTATTATTATTATTCATAAATAAATATAACTCACAGACATAATTCAGAAATATTTCTTAAGTTAATGACGGATGGGAAAGGAGCTCGGTCGCGTTGATTAAACTGCTGAAAAAGATTAAAAAGTTTCCTCAGTTTTTTCTGTACTTAAGCAATTTTATTTTTTGTTATAATTGTGGCAACATTTATGATTTTAGTGCAGTCACTCTATAATATATAACCGTTTTCTGTATTTCTATTCGAA